ATTTTCAAATTTCTTAACAAATGCTTAAATAAGACATGAAATATGGAAGGAATATTGGTAAATCAAGTAGAAAAGGATGTAGCCAACCACCCTTTTTCTAAAGAGGAAAATGTTGTCCAAAAGAGTATAAGGACAGCTAGTAAGTACTTATTCGTTTGCAGGCAGCAACAGCCTCCCTAACCCACCACCCGAGCCCTCTGCTGTGGGTTAGTCCATTCTGACTCTTCACAACACGCAGGACAGAGCGGAGCTGCTCCATAGGGTTTCTAAGACCATACAACTAAAGGAGAGCATCCTGGCATGTTGGCCGGCCAGTGCTTAACATGCTGTGTCACCTGGGCTCCATTGAGTTTGTAAAAAGGGAAGAAAATTTTAAGATCAAATATTACTGCTATCTCCCAGACTTTTTTGCAGGGGGGGCGAGGGGACAAAGAAACTCACTGCCTTTGAGTCGGTGCTGACTCATAGTAACCCAGTAGGACACAGTAGAACTGCCCTGTGAGTTTCCAAGACTAATTCTTGACTGGAGTAGAAAGCCCTGTTTGTTTGTTTGTTTGTTTGTTTGTTTGTTTGTTTGTTTGTTTGTTTGTTTTCCCTCTGAGCTGGTTGGTGATTTCAAATGGTTGACTCAGCAGTTAGCAGCCCAGTGGGTCAACACTAGCCACCAGGTTTGTAGAGCGAACAGCTAAATTCCTGCTGGTCAGTAGGGAACAGATAGCAGGACTTCCTGAGATGAGTTCTTCAAGGAATGGTTTAATTCCTTCTAAACTACTGGCCCATATCCATAGTCATTGTGACTATGAAGATTGGCCAGTTGATTAAAAAAATAAAAGCCCTCTAAGGGCTGTGTTTCAAAACAAGTCTATCTGTAGAATTGGGTAGCAATAGCTAGCTTTTTTGACTTGTGAGGAAGGAGTCTCTCGCTTTTTAATGATCATTTTGCACCTCCTCGTTGCAGGGAAGGATATGAAGATTTCTTCAGTAAGCTCCAGCAACACAGTGTCCCCGTGTTCATATTTTCTGCTGGGATTGGCGATATCCTAGTGGAGGTTATCGATCAGGCTGGTGTTTATCATCCAAATATCAAAGTAGTGTCCAATTTCATGGATTTTGATGAGAATGTAAGAACGTCAAGTCATCCTCTCTCATGACATGTA